TGACTTTCCCTTCACGCTCTCCTGTTACAATCAATTACCAAGTCCTGACACTGCATTTGGTCTCTGAAGAGATAGTTTTACAGTCCATGATCTGATTTTTAATTAAGCAACTATAGAACAATATAGGTATGGTTCTTTATTATGATTTTTTGATGATACAGTGATTTTCTTCTATTTGTGACCAATGTTTCAAGTCAGGCTGTCTGTCTGTCCAGTTCAACTATGTTATGGGACAGGGATGTGGTTATTTTCAGCAAACCTTTTCAGTTCCTTCCATCACTGTAGAAGATATTTTGTGACTTTTAAAAACAATTGTTACAGGATTGATTTTTGCATGTGTGATGATGTCTGCCATGGTAATATCTCATTTGCCAACTTGGGAATTAGGGATTGATAGATAATTTTGAATATTTTCTGAGACAAATTTATATTCATGATTTCAGTTGTGAACTAAAATGTGTGTCAATTTCTAAGGAAGAGAAAATGAAGACAAAGCCTATCTTTAGAGGTGAAGCTATAACACCTTTATGACCACAGATTTAGATCATTAAAAAAAAAAAGAGAGAGAGGGAAAGAAAGAAAGAAGAAAGAAAGAAAGAAAGAAGAAAGAAAGAAAGAAAAGAAAGAAAGAAAAAAAAGAAAGAAAGAAAAGGAAAAACAAACAACAGTAAGTAACAAAAAACTCCACTGATCAGATCCATGCCCCATATTGGGGGCAAGGGTGGATATGTGTTGAAATCCCATTGAGTAACTGCAGGGATTTACAGTCTATTTACAGTCTATTTTGATAACCCCAATGTGTGTTCACACTATGCATTCGTAACACCATACACATTAAAAAAAAAAAACAAAAAACCACACCTCATATATTGGGTGCTTGGGACCAATAAAAAATATCAAAATGGCACCAATGGCCCAACCCTCCAGTCTCCCATCTCCTCACAGCCAGATTTGAGGGTCACCCATGGGGTAGATACAGTTTAAAAGTGACATAGTGTAAAATGGCTCCATAAGAACTATGTCTGAAGTATTTTGGGTCCATATCTTGTTAATCTCTGGGAGAGCCATAAGAGTAAGGCTAGATATCACAGTTTCATTCTAATGAAAAAAAATTTTTTTTTTAACACCAACTGTGTTATAATCCATGAACAGAGCTCTTCGCACCTCCATCTGCTTCTGTTAATGGAAACCAAGCCAACTTTTCTCTAAGGCCCCTTTCTCTATGGCATAATTACTGTTGGCTCTAGGAACCATATTTAATAAATCCAACCTTTGTTTTGGGAGGTCTGGGTCATATAACACACACACAGTTAATTTTAGTTAATTTTATAAAATCAACTTATACCCATTATTTAGATCCAAGTACTTTCAATGAATACTAAGGTACTGTAGAAGAAAATTCCAGTTGTATAGTCTAGCATCTGCTTTACTTTTTGTTATCCTAACCACGTTTTGATAACTATAAATAGCTTTAGATTATCTTCCATAGCTAAAGATATAGGCACAAATTTGTTAGGCAAAGAAAATGCAAAAAAAAAAAGAAGATAGAATATCAGTCTGTATTTGCACATTAGCAAACAAGAATTATCTCGCCCTTACTTCCTCACATGGAAAATTGCATTCTATAATATGGTTAAACACACACACACACAAGTGACTGGACTAGATGAAAGGAACAGAGATGATTATTCGTGGAGATAGGAACTGTCCATACAATATTAGAAGTGGTTGCTTTTGAACTGGAGACAAATTCATGAAGTAGATGTGAAGCAGGAAATTTTAATATATTCGACAATGAAGTCAGAGAATTTAATGTCTTTGGATGCATACCTAAAATGGAAAAATGTGCATAATAATGGTTTAAATGTTTTTAAAAATCTAGAGACTTTGATTATATCTAGTGTGTAATTAATACATACTGGCTAAAAAAAAGCTAAAGCCATTTCAGACTTTTTAACATTCTCCATGAAGGTGTTGCACACATTTTTTTGTGTGTGATTTATTCTTAGATACTTGATGTTTGCTGAAGTTATGGAAATCTCATTTTTTAAAAAGAATATTTCATTTTAACTGTATGAAGAAACGGAACAGATTTTTGCACATTTATTGTGTGTCCAGAAACCTTGTAAATGGATCGTACTTTAACAATGTATTAAAGAATCCTTTTGAATTTTTTGTGTAATCTCAATCATCATCTGTGAATAAGGTCAGTTTTGTTTGTTTTGTGCTTTACAATCTTATATCTTTTATGTCATTTTCTTGCCTTACATGATCGGTGGATACCTTCAAAAAACAGACAAGAGGGTGCCTGGGTGGCTCAGATGGTTAAGCGTCTGCCTTCGGCTCAGGTCATGATCCCAGGGTCCTGGGATCGAGTCCCACATCGGGTTCCCTCCTCGGCGGGAATCCTGCTTCTCCCTCTCCCTCTGCCTCTCTCCCTGCTCATGCTCTCTCTCTCTCTCTGTATCTCTGTGTCTCAAATGAATAAATAAAATCTTAAAAAAAACCAAAACAAAACAGACAAGAGTGAGATGTTTTTAGCTCGTTTGGTCTCAAACTCAGGGGGAATGAATTCAGTGTATCCATAGTCCGATATTTATTCCAAGTTTTTGTACATAACTTTTTATCAGGAAAAAGAATATTGCATTCTATTCCCAGTTTGCTAAGAACATTTATCATGAATAAATGTAGATTTATATTAAACTTTTTTTCTTGGTGTTTTTCCTTTAGTCTATTAATGTACTGATTACATTAATTTTCTAATGCTTCATTATTGGGATCTCATTGACACGGCAGTTTGGCTTCTAATCAGTTGAGCTATTCTTTCTATACTAATTAAGGACCTCCTTGCTACCTCCTTATAAGAGACCCTTTTGTTAATATCAGGAAGTATTGATTACTCTCTCTCTTAGCACTCCTTGCTCTTGGTTGCTTGAAATCCTTAGCCTCTGGGTTTCCCTTCTCTGACTGCTTTTGTCTTCGGTTTCTTCACCTTTGGTCTTCCTCAGGGCCTTGGAGCTCATCACCTCTTATGGGATCAAGTGTGTGCTGATGACTCCCAAATCTCTGCTTATAATCTAAATTTCTTTTTCTGAGCTTCAGTCACAAATACCCAAGTGCCTACCCCACCCTTCTACTTGGATGACTTACAGATACTCCATAAATGTTCAAAACAGAACTCACCATCCTCCAACTTTTCTTCTGTCTCCCCACTTTGCTTCTAAACCTACTCTCCCTCCAGGGATTCCCTCAAGTCCCAACACTCCATGCATCCAGGTGCAAAAGAAGAAGCCTGGATGTGCTGGCTTCTCTTCCAAAATAGCCCCAAATCCATCACTGAGACTTACTAATTCTACCTCCTAAATGTTTCTCATAGCCATGAATTTCTATCTATTTCTAGACATTAATCTGGTCAAAGCTATCATTCTCCTCCTGAAAATACTACTACCAAATTTCTTTATTTTCCTTCAGCCTTGCTCTATCCAATAAATTTCTTCCATCCCTCTCTCCTTCCTTCCCTCCCTCACTTCCTTCCTTCCTTTTTTCTTTCTTTCTCTTTCTTCCTATAATTTTAAATATTTGTCCTAAATTAAAAATTTTGTCATACAAAATGATTTACCAATAGTTCATTATATATCATTGTTCTTAATATACATACTTTAAAAATTACTAGAATTTAATTCAGAAGTGTGACAGTAATGTTGAAAAGGGCCAAGTATTTTTTTAATGATTTCATTCATTATTTTGGATGTTGTTTGGCAACACCTGAACACTTAATGCCAACAAGACACAAAATTTGTAACTTTGAGTTCATTTCTGATACATTGATGGCTTTTGTCAAAATCATTGTTTCTAGAATACAGAACAGATAACTTTTGTTTACTATTTCCTTATTTAATCTGATTAGATTCAGATTAAAATGATTTTTTACCTATTTTCTGTCTATTAAGGCTAATTAGCCAGCATTATGTCTCTGGCCAAAACAAATAGAACAAGTACAAAGATAAAGAGCAAAACTGAGGAATATGTTTAATCATGGACATGTCACTCAGAGATACTTGAAGAACATTTAGATTGTAATTACAGTAAACTATGAGTGAGAAGACTTTAATGTCAGAAAAGTAATTTGGATTTTGCTGTCTTTTTGTATTGTTTGATCAGTCCAAAATATAACTTAGCAGTTCCCTCATGAAATTCTAATTATCTATACAATCCAAGGCTAATGTCCCCTTTTTTCTCTTTCCCCAACAATAATGTTTGTACTTACCTTTTTTGTGTTCACATTACATTTTCTTCTTCTTATTGTTTCTTTCTGTGTTTTCACTATTTTATGGATTTCCTAATGCTTTTTTTTTTTTTGTAGTAAACTATATTGCATTTGGAAATGAGTCTGACCCATAGCAGGCACTCAAGATATATTTACTGAATTATAACTAAATTTTAGACTAGATTATTTAGATTTATATTATTATTAGGTTATTTCAAAGCTTTCTATGAAAAACAATTAAAATATTTGGATCTAAATGGTATAGTATTTCAGGTGAGGTGATTTTCTTCACAAATCAGTGAAAAAGAATCTGACCTATATTTGCATGCTAACGATTTTGACTTTAACCTTGTAATCATTACCTCAAGTGGAAAATTTGAATTATTGGCAGTCATAAATAGGAACGCAAACTGTTTGGTTTGGAAATTAGTAGCTCTTTCAGATAAATAAAAACATCTTCATGAAAGTATGTGAGACCATACACTTTAGCAGATCTTTCTGGATTAAGATCAGCATTACAATAAAAGCAGAAAGTTTCCTTAAATATATACATATATATATATATATATATATATATAAGACTGTATCCAACAGCAGGAGGTCCTGCTTAAGACTGGAATTGCAATAACGGCAGTGAAGATAACTACCAGAAATGGATGCTATTCTGAAAGAGTTTGATTACAAATTTATTAATGAGACACAGTATTAGAAATTTGGATTTTTTTCTGTGGAAATGTTAGCTGGATTGGATATAATCTTTCCTACACTGTCGACAGCAGAATTCATAATTGGAATGTTGGGGAATGTGTTTATTGGACTGGTAAACTGCTCTGAATGGGTCAAGAACCAAAAAATCTCTTTAGCTGACTTCATCCTCACCTGCTTGGCTATCTCCAGAATCACTCAGCTATTGGTGTCATTGTTTGAATCATTTATGATGGGATTAAATCCACCTTTCTATTCCATTTATAAACTAGCAAAACCTGTTACTTTGCTTTGGAGAATAACTAACTATTTGGCCATCTGGTTTACTACCTGCCTAAGGATTTTCTACCTCCTTAAGATAGCTCAGTTCTCCTATTCCCTTTTCCTCTGGCTGAGGTGGAGAATGAACAGAGTGGTTCTTGCAATTCTTGTATTTGCTTTGTTCTTTCTACTGTTTGACTTTCTATTGCTAGAAACATTTAATGACCAGGATCATGACCGGAGCCGAAGGCAGTCGCTTAACCAACTGAGCCACCCAGGCGCCCTTAGGGTTTACCTTTGATGTATTCTTTAGATTGTGTTAAAGAAACAGAAAGTTGTAATTAAATGATGATAAGTGTGTGGGCTGTAAATTAATCTTGATGGGGCCATAGGTATGGGCTCTGCTCTAGGGCTGTTCCCTGGAGCTGAGAAGGATGTTAGAATTATTAACATTTTCCCCGTCCTCTCTCACTGTATGTAGAAAACTAAACTGCAAACACATCTAGGCTATGTGGTGCTTCTGTGTATCAATAACAATAACGACGTGTATAATGGTTTTTTTTTTTTTTTTAAAGATTTTATTTATTTATTTGACAGAGAGAGACATAGCGAGAGCAGGAACACAAGCAGGGGGAGTGGGAG